GAAATGTTTTTATACTCTAAATAAGAGTAATTATTTAATTAAGAGTAATTATTGACATGTTTTGGCAATATCAAACTTTTTTTTGGAAGAATGTGGCTTATATTAATAAGGAAGAACATAAGCAGAATACAAACTGACATAGAGCCCAAAGCCTACCGTCTGCCCTTGAACCAGACTTAGAACCTGCCACCTCATAAGAAGCAACCAGATTCGCTGATCCTAAATTGGGCTTACTTGAGCCAGTGACTGGTAAACCAAGCCCTCTATCACCTGTCCTATGTTCTAGAGTCTTAACAGAAAAAAAGATAACAGCAAACAAACGTACTCGCTGACACCAGCATAAAACAACAAAAAGAGAAAACAGTCTAAAAACTTCACTGATTTAGGCGGGTCTGAGAAACCCAGCCCGCCCCTTCCCTGTTTTTTGTGCTGTCCAGAACCATAGCCTCCTCCCCTAATTGCTCCTGCTCCAGTGCATCCTAGGTCCGCCTCCTCTTCTGCTCACCCACTCCATTGCCAACGGTCCTTGCTCCCTCCGGGTTCAACCCTTCCCCTTTTTCCAGAATCTTAAGCTGTCCCAAAATCTGGTCCTGGTCCTGCTTCTCATTTAGATACTTTTGCACTCCCATAAGACTCCTTTCTGACCCTCCATCGTTAACTAGCCATTTGCTTCCCAAGGATAGGCGGGGACGTCCTCCCCCTACTCGTTGCCATGGCCCAAAAGGTCTCGTTACCTCTTTTCCACCTTGCTCATACATTAATGGACAGAATTTTTCAGCATGTCCAATTATTCCACACGCAAAGCAAAAACTAGGGAGTTTCTCATATTTGAAGTCCACCCATTTCCCTTCCCCTTTACCCTTCTTCAGGTTGATACCCACTTTTAAGGGATTTCCCACATTCAGTTTGACCCTAACCCGCATATAGGCTTCCCATTTCTCATCAAATTGCTTATCATCCTAGGTAACAAAACTACCCAAATAGTTCCCAATTTTACGGGCATTTCCCAAATTAGAGTATCCATAAGGGATATTGTGCACCTGTACCCAGAAATCAACTGTATCAAGCGGCACCTTCAGAGGCATATCACCCTGCTCAATAGCTTTCAAAACTAACAGGTTCTGATCATACAACCAAGGTCCATCATTTAGCACACGATTTCTATCAATTAAGTGGTAAAATGTAAACAGATACCTCTTCTCTCCGATCTCTTGAATCATAACACCCTTACCCGGGCATCACAAAGACGCCATCCGATCGCGGAAGAATTGGAACTTTACCATTTTATCTGTCAAAATAGTACCCACGACAGGGTATGTTTCCACTGCCTTGCGCGCTGCCACAGGTTCTTGCTCGGTTTCCTCCTCGTCATCTAGCAGCAATTCCTCCTCCGACAGTCCCAGCCCCATGCCTCCGTACTTGCCGATTAACGTCTCCATGTTCTCAGCCCCCTCCGTCTGCAATGGATCCCCTTCGTCGTCCTTGGCGCCGTCCTCCGTCTGAGCCGAGAAGCTGTCGCGCCCCACTCTGCTCCCCGCGAACTCGGTCTCGGCCATGTTGCCGATCTACACCTAAACCGCACAAAAATGGCGGAAGAAGCTAAACCCTACGCTGAGGGAGAGGCCGCTTTTTCGCAATATCAAACTTTAAACATGAAATTAATTACTCTTATTTAAGGAATAAAAGTATTTTGACATAACAATATTTTCCAAACTTGGTAGTATTTTTTTTTTTACTACTTATATTTAAGGAATAAAAGCATAACCGTCCTATTTAGTAATTCTCAAACGTTTTTACTCCTATTTCACGAAATTTCCCTATTATATTTTTAAGTAGCAATAAATAATAATAACATTAATGTAAACATTAAAAATTTCAAACATAATATCTGAATTAAAAATTATATTGCATCTCGGAATAAGTATACAGTTCTTCGTGATGATAACAAAAATAGGTGAACAAAATAGCTTATTAAAAAAAGACTGAAATGAGCAATAGCTTATTTGAAGTGAATTCTAATAAAAATGCTTTTTTATATGTTATTTTATACTCCGTACTTGGTACACAGTACGCAGTATGCATGTGTTTACGAAACAATAATACCATTACGTAAACATTAAAATAATGAGATATTACCCGAAATAGGACTAAAAGAGTTTGAAAATTCCAAAACAGGACTGCCATGTTTTTATTCCCAAAATAGGACTTATTACTGCCATGTTTTGGTAGTATCAAACTTCATACATGTCAGTATTTTCCAAACTTGGCAGTAATTACTCCTATTTTGGGAATAAAAACATGACAGTCCTATTTTGGAATTTTCAAACATTTTTAGTCCTATTTCGGGAACTTTCCCATTATTTGAAACATAATTTCTGAAGTAAAATTTGCATCTCGGAATCAGGATATTATTCTTTTTTCTTTATGATGATAAAAGTAGGTGAATAAAATATAACCCTCCATCCCTATATAAAATGCATAGTTTGACTAGCACACATCCTAAGAAGGAATATTGTTTGACACTATTTGGACATTGTTTGGCACAGTTTGAAACTGTTTGGCACTGTTTTGTTTGCCAAAAAGGGAAATGAACCTTTTATATATGGACAGCCCAAAAAAGAAACAATGCCTTTTATTTAGGGACGAAAGGAGTATAATTTAATTTAAAAGTTGAGACTGTATGTGTCGGCTCGTGAGTGGGTGGTGGTGGCGATCTGACCAAAGGGTGGCGAGGCCGATGGTTTGCTAGAGGATGGCTGTGGGTGATCCTGAAATCAGTCTTGGCATGGACTACGAGATATTTCTATTATCTTTATTTTTCATTGAACATGCAATTTCATAATTAAAAAGAAGTGTCGGGATATTGGGCCCATCAGATAAATAGGGCCAGTCCAATACTGCATGAGGCCTTATAAGCTCACTACACGACCACACGGGGAAACAGCTAAGTAGGTACCCCCGAAGGCCCGAACAGCACGAGGAGGAGCTAAACAGGACCAGTCCTAGGGTCGGACCAAACTAGAAGTAAGGCAGGTCGGGATCCTCAGACGCCTGTTTCAATATTAGAGGCCAGACCCCACAATGGGATGAACGACGTGAACTACAGACCCAACTAGATAGTAGAACGCTCGAGCCCAAGATAGACACATGATCTATATCCGAACGAGCGCCCCCTGCACTACGCCAACACAAAGGGCATTTAATGGCTCATCCCAAATATTGGCGGAAAATGTCACGCCCCAGACTGCATCTGAACGCGTGTACAACCGCCGTATAATCAAGTGACGTCACCCGCGAGTCAACCTCACTTAATCATACAAGGTGTTCGAGAAAACAATCCATCCATACTCAGTAGTAAACATACATAACAACATCACGTTTAAACCAATGAATAGCGGAAATATTCAACGGTAAGTCATAAATCACAACCGGCCAACAACGTAGGCATGCAAGCCCCAAAAATAGTTTTATAGTAAATCAAATATCCATGAGCAAGTGTTCGATAGTTTGAAAGAACATAAGGAAGCACGAACCACGTCTGCCTGAAGTTGATATCACCCGTAAGAAGGTGCAAAAAGCAAGCTCTAGCTTCAACCTGAAAATGGCGGGAGGCCCCGAAGGGGTCAGTACAAGTACTGAGCGAGTAGCAGGCTAAATATAGAATAACTAGCGTTTCAAGTATAAGACCCGAACATAGGGTGATACTTATATAAATAGTCTTTTCCCCCGAGTTATGAAATACTTATTAGTATATATATACTTGGAAAATATCCGATCCGTAGATCACCATTTTATTTGGGAAAATAGTAATAGTCAATATTCTTGACTAAAAATCCCAACCCACTCATATACCTATGAGTGTATAGGACTCCTCCTTGTCCCTATTTCAATATCATAATCTATGAGTTTTGAGGATCATAATCCTTGGGTACTCCACCAATTTCTTTTCGAGTGTTAAGGACTTTAAGTCCTAGGGTCCTCCACCAAAATATTATCCGAGTGTTAAGGACTTTAAGTCCTAGGGTCCTTCACCAAAATATAATCCGAGTGTTAAGGACTTTAAGTCTTAGGGTCCTCCACCAAAATATGAGTGTTAAGGACTTTAAGTCCTAGGGTCCTCCACCAATTTATAATCCGAGTGTTAAGGACTTTAAGTCCTAGGGTCCTCCACCAATTTATAATCCGAGTGTTAAGGACTTTAAGTCCTAGGGTCCTCCACCAATTTATAATTCGAGTGTTAAGGACTTTAAGTCCTAGGGTCCTCCACCATTAATATTCCTATTATCAACCTCATATCAACCTAGATAGAGTCTATAACATATTTATTTATTCATAGCTAAGTCAATCCATAAATCCTAGGAAAAATTGATAGTAATAATCTCAACTATTGATGGTCCGCCAATAATAATCCCAACTATCGATTATTTCAGAATAATCCCAACTTTAGGGACCTTCCGCCAATAATGGTCCCTAAAAATAAATTCTCGTAGTTTGTGAAATGGATGAGAAAAGATATAACAAGTAATCCATGTAAATAATCCCAACTTTTAATTTTACGCTTAATTTTTATTTAAAATTCACTTTTTATAGGAGGTAATATCTGGTCATAGACCATTATTGGTGGATGGTCCATATAGTTGGGATTATACAAAAATAATAAATAGTTGGGACTATTATCAGCGGACCAGCAATAGTTGGTATTATTATTTTCAAGTTTTCCTAAATCTTATGTATCTCAATCCATGCAAAGCCATGCACTTATATGAATTTACAATTAACTAATACCAACCGGTATTGATTAATCCATTATCAATCGGTCAACGTTTTCGTTGACCGTCATTTCAAGCCTTATACGTATCAACTTAATCATCATATATATATGAAGTTAATAATAGGGAAATGGTGCTAAATAAGACCTTAGCTTTCCATATATACTTAAATAAGACCTTGACTTTTTTTACTCTTAAATAGGACTTAATTTTTTCGTGTTTCCAAAATGGCCCCTGTTTCCTTTCTCGGCAACAACCCGTTCCTTTTACGTCAACCTCGTCAAACCCTCTCTCCTTCCTCCATAGCTAAGCAAGGCAGAGCATCTTAAAAAATAATGGAAAAGTTGAGTTGTAGTGACGTTGCAGATGGGGAAAGACAAAGAAGATGCAGCATTGCACAACGGAGAAGAGACAGCAGCACGGCGACGCGGCAGCGGTGGAATGGGGAGTTGGTGAGGCGGCGGCGGTGCAACGATGTGGCAGCAAGATAGAGGCGGAACCGCGGAAATTTCTGGGAAGTTCCCTCCCCCGTTTCTTCTTCCTGCTGCGTCTTCTGTTCATTCAAGTTGCACTCCTGGAATTTTTTGAAGTTGCCAGATCTACCAGATCTAGGTATACTTTTAACTTTTTCTTTTGACTGGTATGTTCCTTTCTTTGCAGCGGCTGCTGTGTACCTTTTCTCTTTTTTTTTTCTTTTAACTTTTTAAATTGAGTGAATGTCAGTTTATGTCAATATCTTTGACATTGTTTGAAATCTGCAGTTTCCAACATTATGGAAGAGTTGATATGTGGCTGAATATTGTTGTAATTACGTATATATTCCATGGCATATTAACAATTCTGATGTGACATTTTATTGTAACATTGTTGAATTTCAACAATGCTTATTATCATAGTGTTAGACATTATGACATTTTTTGGTATTGTGCCATTTTAACTTGACTTTGTGCCATTTTATCTTCTTTTAATAGCGGAGGACCAGTGGCAGAGGTCATTGAAGAACCGGCTGAGAATCGAGTTCGTAGGAGTAATAGAGATAGCGGTTACCAATGGTCCAACTGTGGAGAGTCATTTGAGCACTCGAAGTGGCGGTCGCCGGAGGCCATTGTTGACATTATTTTTAGTAATGTTGTTTATATAGTGATTCAACATTCACGGTATTGTAACAATTGTAACACACTTTTCTACATTTTCATAGTTCTTAGAATATTGTGACATTGCTTAGTTTGACAATGTTTATAATGACAATGTCACATTTTTAAAAATTATCATTGTCATGACATTACCATGACATTGAGGCTATCATTGTCATGACTTTATCATAATGTTACTTTATTTTATATTTTCAATAATGGCATTTTCATGATAATGTCATTTTTATAATTATTGAAATTTCCATCAATTTGTAATCATTTAACCCTTTTATATCATTGTCATTATTTTTAACAATGTCATTTTAATAATTATTGACATTGTTACGACATTGTCATTGTCATTGACCTTGTCATTACATTGACATTGACAATGTTATAATGTTACTTCTATGACATTATCATTGTCATGTCATTGTCACAATTGTGACAACAATAGTGTAAACAAAATAGATGATATCAAGTTGTTAATGATAATAATCTTAAGATGAGTGGTCTTATTGTCAGGCCGGCCTGACGGGATGCTCCGTCCGGCCGAGCCCGTTTGGGCATCTTCCCGGTGGAATTTTTTGATGAACATTTTTTAGCATGTTCTTCATCAAATCTAGTTTGTCCATACCAAATTTCAGCTCAAAATTCGATCGGGAAGGCATTCAAATCATTTTTTGAAGTTGACTGCTGTTTTATGTGTATACTTTGACGCAGTCAACTTCAAAAAATGATTTGAATGCCTTCCCGATCGAATTTTGAACTGAAATTTGGTATGAACAAACTAGACTTGATGAGGAACATGCTCAAAACATTTCATCAAAAAATTCCACCGGTAAGGTGCCCAAACAGACTCGGCCGGACGGAGCATCCCGTCAGGCCGGCCTGACATGAAGATTTGTCATAATCTTAATACAATATATGAAGTATGAACGATGGCTATTGGCATCGACATTGACAATGTTATTATTACAATGTCATTATTAGTATTTTTACCATTGACATTGTAATTATTTAAGATAATGACATTTTTAATAAAGTGACTACTTTTACATTTTGATAACGTTTATAAATATTGTGACAATGTTTATAAAGATAATGTTTGACATTATGACGTTTTTTGACATTATAATATATTCAACGCTTTGACAATGACATTCTCACAACAGAATTGACATTGTCATAATTACAATGTTATTATTTATAACATTGACCCTCCATTGTGACATTTTCCGACATTATGACATTTCTCATAACATTGTCAATAAATATTGCTTTAGTATGAACGAATGTTTTTTTCAAATTAGTTAATGAAATACTTTACATAAATGAATTTAATTGGATGAATGATGAATCTATAAAATAAAACAAAAAAAATAAACAAGCAAAAGTAATACTACCAACAACGAAATTGAAAAGTAAAGGTTTAAAACAATATTAACAAATCGTCCGCAGGCCGGAGAGCTAGGAAAAGTTCTAGAAGCACAACTCTGAATGCTTAGACGTCGGATTTCTGCATCGCAAGGCCGGAGAGCTGGAAATCAGTAGACATATGGTCGCTCACACCTTCGAATTGCAAGTTCCGCTTCTCAGATCTCAATTCTGTAGAACGAAGTTCCTTTTGAAATCTCAAGATGTGAATCCAGGGAATATGCATCAAGCATTATTTACCAAAAAAATCAGACTTCTTCCACCAAAACGATGGAAGACTTTGAATTCGCGAGCCGGTCAGATCCATGATTTGTGAAATTCATCTTCGCTCACTTCTGCCAACTTCTGCAAAGATTTGTGCAGAGCTTACCCATACAATCTCTGCTACCACCGCCCACCGGCGTAGCTTGGATCGAAAGAGAAGGGTTGAAGTGACACTTGATTTGGAAGGAGATTTATTTGCTGTGAAACAAAATAAGATGAGCAGCGGCGAGAGTTCAATACGTGATGGAAGAGAAGAAGACGATCGTTGCAAATCTGAGACTATATGATAGGGTAAATTAGTCTTTAGCTAAATTATTAGTCCTATATTCAGGTATATAAAAGTAGTCAGTCCTATTTAGGTACACGGACTATGTTCTAATCTTATTTGGGTCTATTTCCCTTAATACTACCTCCGTCCCTTAAAGGTTTGCCATGTTTGACCGTCACGTAGAATAATAAAGTAAAAAGTGTGTGGTAGAGATTTGTACAGAGGAGAGAGAAATAACATGAGCCACAAATTGATTGATTAAAATGGAAAGTGGCAAAGTTTTTGGGACAACCACAAAAGGAAAGTTGGCAAAGTTATAAGGGACGGAGGGAGTAATATTCATTCTATGCTTCTCTTACCTTTCAAACATAGCATGCAATTCCATAGAGATTCTCATATCATATTCCATGCATATTCAAGTAATTCATTTCATACAAGCCTAATCATTTTGGCTAATCACATGTTTAAGTATTCTTTAAACATCATTATGAATACATATAACATTTATTTAGATAATCTCATAATTAAACCAAAAGTTATAAGATATTAAGCCGTCCACTCACGTTGAATTAACGCTGTGAAGTTCTACCCTCCTCGGTTGAACTCCGGCGACAACTCCGGAGACTCTTTCAACTTTGTGAAAGCTCTCGAAATACCTTAATTAAGTTCCTAATAAGGTTTTATAATCATAAAACCTATATTAATACAAATAACCTCAAAAAGGTTATTTTCCAGCGAACCGGTTGTTATGGCTCCTAAGTCCGTTCTTGGACATAGAACCACCTTCAAACCCAAAAATCCATACTTATAACATGTGGAACCATACTAAGGGTCCTTCATATGATATATATCCCATATTGTAAAAGTAAAATAGGGAAAAGTTATAATAAGGTCCTTACCTTAATTATTCACACTTTTCCCAACTTTTTCTCTCTTTAATCTTCCTCCTTGGACTACTCTAGATTGAGCTCGAATTTTGGCTATGGAAGATGAAGTTTCATAGCTTCTTTTCCTCCTCTCCTTGGTGCTGGCCAAACCACAACGATGAGGGAAAGGTGGGATGGGTTTCCTTTTGTCTCATTTGACAAATAAGAGTGACGGGGTCCCTTTTGATGTCAAAGGTGTCTCCCCCATCCCTTCAATTGTTTCACAGCCACTTTTGGCACTCATACAGCCCTCAATGGTTGACAATTTCGTGGGGTGGCCCCCACCCGTGTGGGAGGTCATGGTCATCCCAATTCATCCCAAAGTATGCAATTGGTCCCGAAAGTTGTATTTTTCGGACTGTTTTAAATATATTTTATTTTATCGGGTCAAATAAAATATATTACTTATTCCCCAATCATAACGCCCATTTGAAATAATATATATTCCAAAACTTTAATTTGGACGTCTCCAAAATCCATTTTCGGGCTGTTATCTATTAAATTGCCAATACTGACAATTGGGCCTGGTTTGACCAATCGGTCAACATTATTCCCTTTCTTTGGCCCAAATAACATATCCACCACTATATAAATATTATCTCGACCCATAAGAATAGTTTATGTGATCTCGGGAATATTGGGCGGCCCCCACTCCCAGTGTGGGTCCCACGTGCAATTTACTATTCACGCGAAAGGAATAATAAAAATTTACAACTTCGTAAATTCATTAATCATTCCATAAAGTTTATTACATCATTTACTTAAAATAAATATATTTGGGGACGGTGTTACAGAAAACCTAGGTATTAGCGCGGAAGCGCATTAATTGCAAGATATTGCGGATTTGGGACATTAAATGCAAATATGGGCCAACGAGTGGATGATGAGATTCATGACCTACCAGAGGATGACACGTCACCGTTGCCCACACCGTCTAATAGTATAAATGACCCCCCCCCCCCCCCCCATGTATACTACACCAACGGTAGATGAAATAACACTTAGGGAGTGTTTGCAACTGATTCTGCTTAAAAAAAAAGTACTTTTGGAGATGTAAGGAAAAAGTGATTAGTAGGAAAAGTTGATAGTGTTTGAGAAAAAAGTGATTTTGAAAAGTAAAAGTTGATAGTGTTTGGTAAAAAAAGTGCTTTTTGTGTAATAGAAAGGGGAAAAGCACTTTTCACACGCAAGCCGAGAAAAAGTAAAAATTGATAGTGTTTGATAAATAAGTGTTTTTTAAAGCCAAAAACTGAAAAGTGTTTTTTTTAAGTGATTGCAAACACTCCCTTAGTCTCTCCTCTTCTAACGATAATTGCAGCGCTCTTGTATTGAAATAATAAAAAGACTGGATTCATCTTGATCTTGGGTTCGCATATTTCCACTCCTTCCTATATTCCGAGCACCCAAACCAACCACTCACCGAAGGTATCATATTGGACCTTCGGGGCATGGGAATTAACCTCAACATGTAGTTTTATCGAGTATATTTTTAATCTCATAAAACATGAAAGGCCTAATTTTGCATGTCTTCTTTAACAACATAATCGCCTTTTAAGATATAGTTTAGATTCGATGTAACTTTGTCATATATTTTTTCTAAAAAATTTGTGAGTTTTCCTTTTAATAAATGAATTTAAACTTTCTATTATTTCTCTCTTCTTTGCACAAACCTCAACTACACAATTTTAACTTTACTATTTGAATATGATGCTAGCCAAATTTGGCAAAATTTTGAACAACAATATTTTAATCAAGTCTCGGTGAAGAAGATTTTGATACATAGACAAGGGTTTCATAAAAGAAAATATACAAGTAAATCGAGGAGTCTTATTGTTCTAACCCATGTTTTAATTCATAAAAATGACTTCATTTTAAATCAAGTTTTAATTGTCTTCTGCTCTTCTATAATTCACTTCAGACGTCTTTCTATGAGCCGGTTTGGTGGCTCTTGTTTCTTGACTTATCATTCTTATAATCAAGTTTTTCAAACATGTAACTTTTGATTTCGTACACTAAGTTGTACAATAAACAATATAAATAAGGTTGGAGGTACTTTACTGACTGAATTGGCTAAAGTTACTGTAAATGATCATTTTAACTATTTTCAAATAATTTTTCTTTATTTTATTAATAACATACTACCTCCGTCCCGAAAACAAGTACCCGAGTAGACTTTCAAACATTTTAAGGAAATAAAGTTACTGAGGGGTAAATTTTATTGTTTTGACACTGTTTGACACTGTTTGACACCGTTTTTATGTAGATAATTTGCCAGATAAGGAAATGAGAAGTTTATTTTGGGACATCCAAATAAGGAAAGTGGGAACTTGTTTTCGGGACGGAGGGAGTATATTTTATTTTATTTTTCCATATTTTAGCAGAATCAGTCAATCCAGCCACTTCATCCAGAACTTTGTAAATTTCAGCAGAACACCAAATTCAGCCAATTTTAGTGCTACCAAACGGGGTCTCTATTGACTAATAATACAAGTCCTCAACTTAATTTTACATACCAGGTTTTTCAAAAGTGACTTTTTTTAATTAGGACTAATACAGAAAAAAAAATAGGAAAATCATTGCTTTCCCTTTAAAATGAGACTCATTCAATCTTAAATAAGAACGTTTTATAGCATTAAGAGAAATAGGACAAATAAGCCATTGAATTATTAACAATTTTGCAATCAGATACCTTAACCAAAAGACCTTATTAAAACTGTTTAACCCATTGAAATAAAACAGTCAACCCCTCTTTTTATGTACAAGTGCCAGTAACTTCCCATAAGAAAGTTACCATCTTACCGACACAAGTAGATAAAAAGGGCTCAATTGCTATATTTCAATAAATTGAATGGTGTAATTGTAAGGTCTTTTGATTCAAAAAAAGTATGACATCTCATCCCTGAGGATTCCCCAGAACTAACCACACAGTTATTTCAAATGAATTGAATTGTGTAGAGTCTTTGATCACGGATGAAAAGAGAATGAGGTTCTATCTCAATTGTTTGTTTGAACTTAAACTCAGAACATCTCTCGTGTACCACCCTCTTCCTACCAAGTAAGATATGCCAAGGCCATTCGATTCAAGAATCTAGTTGTAGAATCCTTGATAGTCTGAGGACTTATTTGTCCCATTTCTTTAATATAATCAAATAAGTCATATGTAGAAAATAAAACATAGTTAGTCAGGTAGTCCTATTTTATTTGTCTATGTTTTAGTCATGTTTGAAGTAAATGTGAAACAACTTGATAGCAAAACCCTACTTGGAACTGATACCATCGAGTATATCAATTTGTATTAGCTGGAGTTAGGGCTGGACTGAACCGGACCGGTTCGGGCCTCGGTTCAGAAATATGAGGCCCGAGCCCAAACCGGGGGTGGGCGGTTCCGGGTCCGGTTTCGGGCCGGACCGGGCCGGTTCACCCGGGTATTTAATTTTTTTTTTTGGCTTCTTTTATTTAACCCCTAACCCTCCCCCTCAATCCCAAATCACCCCAAACCACCTCAAATGGCCCAAAATACCTAATCCAACCCAAAACTTAAAAACATTTCAACAAAAAAAAAAATCCGGCCCGGACCGGGCCCGGAACCGGTATCCACCGGGCCGAACCGCCGGTGGACCGGGCCACCGGGCCGGGCCGGTTGCTACAGTGGGCGGGCCGGGTCGGTTCCGGGTCGGGCCTCCCGGCCCGAGTCCAGCCCTAGCTGGAGTGAAGAATGCACTACTCCATCTGACATTTTTAAGTACATAAAATCGGATTTTTAGTCTTAATTGAGTGCACTCTTTAGATTAACACGTTAACATGCTTCAGTTGGCTAACGGAATACTAATAGGCCAACTTATTGAAGGTTAATGTCAACCCCTTGGCCAAGTCCCCCTTGGCCAATGCATCCCTGCAAGTCGACACCCCCGCAGGTCGATGCCAAAACCTTGGTTGATTTCACCTTTTCGGTCAACTTCTCTTTAGTTAATCTGTAGTTGACATCCCCCGTTGGTCGACGACCTAAAAGTCGACACCATAACCTTGGTTCGCTGAACTTTCCCCCTTTAATCGACTTCTTGAAGATCAACGACGCACCCTTAGTTGACTTTGCCTTATTACTCAGCATTTCATTAACCGACTTAATCGTATTAACACAAAAACCTGAATTTATGTACTTAAGAATGTTAGATGCAATATAATATATACTCTTTACTCTACCCCATTCACTCTTTCCTTCTTCCGTTAATAATAGTGATGAAAAGTGGTATTGGGAGGAAGTCTATATTTGTGGGATCGTTTCTTGTTGAAAGTGACTAACACGGTGATGTAAGAAGAGAGGTACAAAACTAGCAAAAGTGGGGCACAACTAACATGCACCATCATATTTTCAGCTTTAGTGGAACTAACGCATTGAACACTTTTTTTTTTGACAGATAACGCATTGAACACTTAAAGGCAGAATCAGATTGCCACATATCCTAGCTTGCTTTACAAATTACAACATACAGACGGATCAAAATTTCTTGAGTAAATATTCTAAAAAAAATACACACTTCTTACATGGCAGAACGTGCGCAGATGCATCTTGAGTTTGGTTGCCCTTTGACATCCAGCCCTACTTCTTGTACACATCATTTTTGTGCACTTCGTGTTAATTTTTTTGTTTGTGAATAGACTGTTCACAAATGATAATTCTTTTCTTTGACATCAAACTACTCAAGGATCTCTCAGATCTGTATCCTCATACCCCTACCCCATCAAATGAACAACTCTGGTTTATGACTGCTTGTTTTCTTGGGCTGATGGTAATACTGCAATCCACCGCCACCTGTTCACGCATGGCACACCACATCAAACAATCATTTCTTGTATCTGGTACTGTTATAATAAGTAGTACCAAATGACACAAATTTTATATCACCACCTGTTCACGCATGGTCCTTGAGAAGTAATTCAAAATCTTACATCTATCGACATGTAATGTCTCAAATTTTATGAAAGAAATCATGGGATTTCATATCCCAATTTGTGGTCACACTTTATATTAAAACTGTTAAAGATGAAGAGAGACCCAATGACAAATGTAACCACTAAAATCAAGGCACTTCTAAGGTTGGAACAAATGGAGGGTGCAAAGCTTTGAAAATATCATGTGAATTTGGAATCCAGGTCAAACTAGGCCTAATGTTGCCCCAATAATGTTCAAAATAATAGACATCATGATGAAGCCTTATAGGTCCCCCAACTCCTTCCATTATTGATTTTGGATTCATACCTTAAGCAAAGAAAAAAGCTATTCTTTCTTTTTTCAAATTGATTGTTGGTGGGAATTGTGCCCCTTCTCTACCCCTCTAATTTGGTGGTGTCTTTCCCTTTCTTAGTCAGCAGCAAGGACTAGTTTTGTCCATTGTTTCCTTATTTAAGAAAGGTGCCATTTCGTTTATGGAACACGCACTTACCATTTTGCCAAAGATGTGGAAAGACGACCAAATTGTGTACCAAAAATTTACAGCTAGACCCTAGAGAAAAAGCTCCCCAAATAACTTTCAAACAGCAATACTGAGAACAGACGTGCCTCATTTTCCCCAAACACAAGTACTCCGTATAAATCATCACTATAGTAAATTTTATTTACAACGTGCTCACCTTCCTAACTACTAGTAGTACCTAAAAATGTTGCGCCCATAATAAAATTTTAAACTATGTGCCGAGGTGGAGATCGATTATGAATATGTAAAGTATGAGTGAACTTAAACTACACAAGTATTATTGGAGAATATCCGAGATATAGAATTAGCAGCATAATCAATTCCTACTATAATAGAGTCATATACACCTTTCCTTAAAATTTTCAACTATGTTTGGTGTATACCCCAAGTGTCAAAGACAATCGAAAGAAACTTGTGTTTTGTGTAGGGGTGAGCATGGGACGGTATAGGACGGTTATTTCGAAAAACCTGTACCGTCCCGCACATATATAGAACCTGTCCCGTTCCGTACCAATTTTCGGTACGGTTCGGTACGGTTCTTCGGTGTTATTTAGTTCCTAAATAATTAACCCCATGAAATATAAAAAACTTTAGATTTTAACATTATAAATAATTCTACAAAAATTTAAGAGAAGAACTTGCAAGACTACATTTAATTGATCTTGTGTGATCAAATTGAAATATGAAACTAATAATCAAACTATAATAAAGAAAAGTAACATCCAAACTAAAAATCAAAAGTGATCGTCAAACTGAAAAACCAAAAAGTATCACATCACATGACAAAGAATATGCAAGATTGCACATTTGTAATGGCATACAGTCACTAACATTTACACTCGGTAAAATATACTCCGTATTATATATAATACGGAGTATATAATTATATTATAACACTAGTTTTCGGGACAATTCGGTACGGTATGAGACGGTTCGGTTCAATACGGTTCGGGAACGGTTCTCACTAAGAACCGGGACCGTACCATCTTATTAAAAAAGCTCAGTACGGTACAATATTACATTTTTCCGGTTCTATCGGTTCTGGAACGGTTCGGGACGGTTCTTCGGTACGGAACGGGAATTCCCAGATCCGCGCTTAGCCCTAGTTTTGTGCATAGACAATTGTTTTTCGTTTTGAATCGTGTTTTGCACAAACAATTATGTGAAACACGTGCTCTTTACAAAACGAAAGAAAATATTTGTGCACAGAAAATTTACAGGCGCATAAAGTGGTGTGTGCGCTTTAGTTGCAAACTTGCAAATAGCATTTCTCTAAAAAAAAATGCTTGCTAAACATTCCAAAAAAGAAAAAAATTAAAGGTAGCCCAATTGGTACTCCAATTTTACTAAAACAAAAATAGACTGAGGTACAAATTGCGGTACATATGCCAAGGTTGTCCCAAAAAACTTGCTTTTTTCAGACGGCAAAACAAAAGGATGAGGTCCCTCTGAGTAATCATCATATGCGATAATTTCGCTAAAAAGGACTATAAAACTCGAGGAAATCAGAAGAAGTGAACGACCAAGTACTATTTAGCAAAAGGCAGAGCACATGTTAGCAAATGGAGGACCCCAGTCCACTATTTAGCCATTGTAACGCAGATACTCAGAAGTACGGAGTAACTACTTTTGCCCATTTTCATTTTATTTTGTGCTCCATGTTGGGAAATGCAAGCCGAATTTTCGCCTTATAACACTTATCAACCAATTTTTAATAAAACACGTGATTTTTTATTCCGCGGGCTTAGTTGTAATAATCAAATTACTTGTTTTACTGCATTAATTGAAGTTATTATGGATGACCATTTTAGTTATTTTTCAAATATCTTTTTTTTATTAATAGAACATATTTTAAACATAATTTTTTATAAATCAGCAGAATCAGTCAATGCAGCCACCTTAACCAGAACTTCATAAATTTTAGCAGGAATCAACTCATTCAATCGAATTCAGTGTTACCAAAAGAGCTCTGGATTTCAGTTTAATATTCAATATTGACATTTATAATTACATGTAATTGATATAAAAAATAATGTGTTGCAAAAACAATGGGAAAAAATAACTTGTTAATTGTTTCAAAAGAATGATGTGTCACTTAAAAAGGTTAACTTTAGATGAATACTTATTTATTTGGCAATATAAAAACTCTAGGTTACATAAAAACAAAAATTACAAGTAATTAACAATAAAAACACATCACCATCATGCAACAAACCGTAAAAGAAATAGTAAATCAATATAGTTATAATATTGTTGGGAAAGTACAAATACACTATAAGTGATGTGTAATACTTATAACAAATAACATTTAATTTCTAGAACTTGTATCAAGACTACTCCGTAGTTCTTAACAAAATAAAATTTCAAATTTCAAATAGTTGAGTTTATTCAGTTTGGTTTTGAAGAGCCAAAACCGAAAATGAATCAAACAATTGGGTTCAGTTCGGTTTTACATTCAATTTCGGTTTGTTTGCAATTCGGTTTAGTTTGATTATGTTAATACTTTGGGTTCCATTCTAAATGGTCAACCTGTTAGGAGGAATAACTCAAAGTCTTATATAGTGTTTTATTATTTTATAGCTTTTATAGCTTTCCGGTGTGGGACAAATATATCAATAGATTACGGTTTAGATTATTTTGATTCAATTTTCGGTTTTCGAATTTTTAAGGGAAAATTGTCAAATAGGTGCTCGAACTTTCATAAAAAGGTCAATTAAGTCCTTCTATAGGAGGTTCTGTCCGGCCGTCGCGATTTGCGATAGTTCCCGGTGGAATTTTTTGATGAAATTTTTTGAGCATCTTATTCATCAAGTCTAGTTTAGTCATATCAAATTTAAGCTAAAAATTTAATCGAGAGTGCATTCAAATTAATTCGAGAACGCAAAAATGCGCAGTTATCTTCAAGACTTAAGTCAATTAAGTCCTTCTATAGGAGACTTTGTCTGATCGTCGCGATTTGGGGCGGTTTCTGGTGGAATTTTTTGATTAAATTTTTTGAGCATCTTATTCATCAAGTCTAGTTTATTCATATCAAATTTAAGCTAAAAATTTAATCGAGAGTGCATTCAAATTAATTCGAGAACGCAAAAATGCGCATCTTATTCACCAAGTCTAGTTTACTCATACCAAATTTCAGCTAAAAATTCAATCAGGAACACATTCAAATTAATTCATGAAGATAACTGCGCATTTTTGCGTTCTCGAATTAATTTGAATGCACTCTCGATTAAATTTTTAGCTTAAATTTGATATGAATAAACTAGACTTGATGAATAAGATGCTCAAAAAATTTAATCAAAAAATTCCAACAGAAACCGCCCCAAATCGCGACGACCGGACAAAGTCTCCTATAGAAGGACTTAATTGACTTTTTTATGAAAGTTCGGACCTATTTGACAGTTTTCCCAATTTTCAAAAACAACCTAAGGAACTTTGAGAAGAAACATTTGTTACAATTCTACACTTTCCATTCTGCTCTGCATGCTTCGGCCACTTAAGATGCTTCTAGTTGAACTAAAAAAATTGATATAGTCTCATTTGGTATGAATTGCTCTTAGTTGAACTAAAAAAAATTGATATAGTCTCATTTGGTATGAATTGCTCTTAGGATGTTTTCTTTTGGACTGAAATTTGCTGGTCTGGTCTGGTCTAGTCTGTTTAAATCTGATCCGAACTGGTCTAGTCTTGTCTCTGCGTATTTTATAACTACGGAAGTCTGGTTTGGTCTGTTTAAGTCTGGTCTGGGACTGAAAACAGTCCAAAAGAGACTTGTGTTATGTACTTTTACTTTGTTTTCTCTCTAACTTTTTACCCATTTTTCATCTTTTCCTTTATCCTTTTTCATATTTTAGTACTAAATCTTGAACATTTTTTCCTTAAATATAACAAAACTAAATCATCTAGACTATACTATCATTCTAAGATAATGTCATCTTATCACTGAAGATAATGTCACAACATTCTTATTTAGAAAAATCACTTTATTTTTATTCTTAGAGAAATTTCCCATTTTTAATTCCAACCACTATATTAAGTCCTAACAAGACCATTATTAAAAGTATAAACCCATTATAATACAATTAATAATTCTTCAAAGTCAAATATAAAAGAAATAATGACCAAAGCAGTGTTGGCAAGCATTTTGAGAATATTTTCACTTTTTTGAAAATATTGACTTGAAGAATTATTAATTGTATTTTAATGGGTTTATACTTTTAATAATGGTGTTGTTAGGACTTAATATAGTGGTTGGAATTAAAAATGGGAAATTTCTCTAAGTATTGTTTTTAAAAATAAAAATAAAGTGATTTTTATTGTTTTTAAAAATAAAAATATTGTTTTTAAGGGATAATTTCTACTTAAACTAAGTATTTAAAAACTAAAAGATGGAAGCATGTAGAGAATTGTTTTAAACTATTTTTCACTTTTTCTATTACGCAAAAAAACACTTATTTATCATATAGTATCAACTTTTTCTTTGCAAAAACATTTTTTTCTCAAACACCATTAGTTTTTACTATTAATCTTTTTTCTCCCAAAATTACTTTAAAAATTTATTATTTTTAAGTAGAAGCAATCGGAAACCTCTCTAATTACAATTGCATTCGATTTTACATACATTTATTCATCTTCAATATCCCGTTCCAAAATGATAGTTCTGTATTTTCTTTTTGATATGTTCCAAAATGATGGTCTTGTTTCTGGTAAAGAAATAAAAGTGAATTACCATTTATACATCTCATTTTTAATAACACTAAAAGAATGAACAATACAATAAAGTAAGATTTTTAAGTCTTTCTATATTACTTTCTTAAACAAGGTGGGATCAATTTAAGCGGTAGCAGTAAAAGGGCTAACCTGGACCTCGGGTGAACTGATCCCGCCGACAAGAACGATTTTGGCTCCAGGGATTCCAGTGACCCGCAAAGCAATCTGGTCGGAAATTGCAGCGTCTCGGAGCAAAGCACCTCCATCAATTTGAAGCAGGCTGGACCGATTAACGACGATAACTGTAACGACGCTTCGGGTACTATAAGCAGACATGTAGAATTCGGGGACGGAGCCGTCACCGAGGGGAATCCTGTTGTACATGACATTGAACTTGGTTTCGGTGAACTTGATTCCTAGCTTGTTGTCGTTCTTCACGGCGAAGACCATGGTGATACGGATGGGGGTGGAAGATGCGGCGGCGGCGGCGACGTCGGCGGCGACGTCAGCGGAGGAAGCTAGGTCAACTGCGGGGATGGGGGAGAGGCCGACGATCTGGACGGTGACCTGTTTGAGATCAATTTGGGGCTTCTCAGGCTTGAGAACGAGGACAATAACGAGACAGGCGGCAATGATAATGAGGAGAATCAGGATCACGAAGAGGAAGAGGCAACAGAAACAGCCTTTAAATGATGCCTTGGAGGAGGAGGAGTCTTTCGAATAGCTCCCGTTTGTTTCGCTGGTGTGTCTGGAGCCCATTTTGCTGAACTTGGTTCTCAGTGAAGAAGACGGAATTATTGGGGAAGTTAACCCCTACTCTCCCTCTCCTTCTCTCTGTCAATGGATTGCAGATCGCTGCTTTGCGTGCTCTGTGGGATAATAAAGGACAGGGTTGAGCAGAAGGATGAAAATGGGGGCAGGAGTGCAGAACTTACTGGTGACTTGGCTTCCCTTTTCGGTGAAAAAAAAGAGGACGGCATCTAATCCCACCACCAGCCCAATTAAATTAATACGATAGTAAGACACTCACCGTATTATAGTTATAAATAAATTTTCAAGATGCTTGCACTGAAATTTCCTGGTTCGGTAGGTTGTGGTTTGGAAATGGCTGGACTTGGTCTGACAAATGTATGGTCTCTGTGTATTTTGTAAGTAAGAAAATCTGGTCTAATCTGTTTAAGTTTGGTCTAATCTGGAATGATATGTTTAAGTGATTTGGTATGGACTGATTTGTCTAGTCTCGAACTGAAAAACAAGTGAAAACATCCTTAGAGTGACGTTTGATAATATCCTAATCGATTGTATTGGTTGATTCAAGGAAAAACTTATATTAAAAATTTATTTTATCAATAAAATAAGAAAAAAAAACATATGAAAAAGCTAAAATGTTTCTCTATAGTAATTCAGCCAAAACGATTACATTCGGAACTGGCTTTTTTTATTACTCCCTCCGGTTCTAAATAAACTTCACACTTTCCTTTTTGGGACGGTCCAAAATAAACTTCACACTTCCTTATTTCCTTATTTGGCAAAGAAATCTACATCAAAACAGTGTTAAACAGTGTCAAACAGTGTCTCAACAGTGCCAAACAGTGCCAAACAGTGTCTCAACAGTGTATTCTACAGTAAAGTAAACTTTATTTTCTTAATAACTGTGAAGTCAAACACTGAAGTTTAAAAAGAACCGGAGGGAGTATTATACAATTTATCGCGTGAAATCAAATGTTACGTGTTTGATGAAAATTTTGGTTTATAAGCGATAGGGGTGGGCGTGGTCCGGAACGGTCCGGTAAACTAGTAAAACCTGTAATGTATCCATTAGGTTTTTAACGGTCCGGTACGATCCGGTTTCAAGGATGGAACCGTTCGGTACCATGCCGTTGCGGAACGGTACAAAATGGTACGGTATAATGTCAAACACATGTTAAAAAAATTGAACAAATCTTGCAATTAGTAGATATCTTCACAACAACCAACTCACATAAAATGTTGATACAAATACAAAAAATTGCATATGTAGTACTAAAATTCACAAATACACAAACAGTGCAACACAATTAAGAAAAAGTATAGCAAAAACAATGACGTACGAGATAAATGTATCTTTAATTTACTAAGTTCATGTGAAAATATAAAAAAGAATATAATCAAATTGTTGAATATAATAGAAATCTTCAATGTTCTTCTTCTTCGTTCTAGGTTAAATATTACTCCGTAGTTCTAATTTAATTTATAGTTGAAACTTGAGAGCTAAGATTTAAAACATATTAATTAAGTTGTAAAATTGCGCAAACATGATACCACAAAAAGTCATGTACACTACATTACTAGAAATGAATAGTCCTTAATAGTTTCTAAAATTTTAATATTCTTTGAATACATATCAAAATACTATAACATAAATTATCTAAATTAAAAAAATAACAATATATATATATAAACACACACACTTAGCTAGTTTGGAACGCACACACTACAAAAAAGGCGGGATTGGCACGGAATTTGTCACGGACTTATCAATTTTTCGTGCCAAATAGCTCGTGCCAAAGTGTTTTTGGCACGGATTTGGCGTATCTCTGCCAAATCCGTGCCAAAATTCCTGCCAATCCCGTGTTTTTTTTGTAGTGGCATGAATATATACTTGGGCTATAAATTAAAATTGTGTGTCTATAAAAGAGATCTATTGGTATAGAAAAATTATAAAAAATTTAAATGCATTATTTTCGAACAGTTCGGTCCGGTATTTTTCGGTTCTCAAAATCTAGAACCGGTCCCGTACCCGTTTCAAACAGTTCGGTTTCGGTACGGGACAAAAATCTATAGAACCATTTACATACCCGGTATTCGGTTCGGTACCATTACGGGACGGCTCGGTGCCGATTCGGTTCGGGTTTTATGCCCACCCCTAATAAGTGAGATAAGCCAAAAAATATGGTCACCAAACAACTATTAGCCCTTCAATTGTATGTGTAACACATGGGCCCCACAAAGTCCAAAGTTGTAACAGTATTGAAAAACTTTTCGTGGGGTCACTCATCCCAACACTAATCTCATGTGAGCACGCTTAACTTAGAGTTCTTAGCAAATGAGCTTCTTAAAAGGATATTGCACCTTGTTGATATGAATAGCATCAACATTCATTTGACGAATAAATTATTGTGTTTAATAGATATCGGTTCATTCTTTTTTATGTAATTCAAAGAATACATAATTATGCTCTCTAGAATGTCATTCATTCTTATTTTAGAAATTCAAAGAATACATAATTATGCTCTCTAGAGTGTCATTCATTCTTATTTTAGAAATGTGAATGATTTGTTTTACATCTTCATAGCAAAGCTCTCATTAATAGTTAAGTTTATACGTGTATGTGCATTTAATGCACCTAACATTTATAACTAGTATAAATAACATTTTTTGAATCACATATAAATGGTTTGAAATTCATTTATTATCGGATATCTTTCTATCTCTAGTCGTACACATCTTTTTTTTCTAAATACCACTAGCTGTTTTTGGATGAACTAACCTTCATTTGTAGTCCAATGTGATTCATGATGAGAATACCTCATACTACGTATATGGTTCAGGTGAAATAAGATTACATACAACAGAAAATATTAAATATGTATATTGTCAAGTGACTCAAGTTTTTCTATACTTATAATTTGTGAGTTGTGACTAGAAAAAGAATGAAATACTAATATGGATTATATAATAAATTAAGTCCACTAAAACATACCACTAACCTATTTATAAACTGTTATCGTAAAACAACATTAGAAATTCGTGCATCACATTGACAATTTGACATGTAGGGGTGGGAAAAACCGAATCAAAACCCGGAAACCGACCCTGGACCGACCCGAATTATGATCCTGGTCCGGGTTTTTTCTTTTTAAACCGGTCCGAATTAAAAAAACCCGGACCGAACCGAAAATTTCGGGCTCATTAACGGGCCTTAAAATCTATAATCTGGACCGGACCGAAAAAACCCGAAACAATTTTATTATAAAATTAATATAGTATATGAATAATTGAATATAAATAAAATATTTCCTAATATATGATTATAATCACGTTGGATAAAAAAAGATTTAGTAACTTTTAGTGAGTACAAATATGTTGAATTTGTTTAGCGTAATGATGACCATGAGAATATATTTATAGCAACTACTAGTTTAGTAAAGGTTCAAAATAGTAGGAGTCGAATTAGTAGATATTGAGGTAGTAGGGGTAAGTTAGTAGGGGTTCAAAATAGTAGAGGTTGAAGTAGTAGGGATTGAGTTAGTATGGGTTGAACAAGTAGGGATTGAGTAGTAGGGTTAAGCTAGTAGGGGTCACGATAATAAGGGTTGAATTAGTAGGGATTGAGTTAGTAGGGGTTCAAAATAGTAGAGGTTGAACTAGAAGGGATTGAGTAGTAGGGGTTAAGCTAGTAGGGGTTCAAAATAGTAGGGGTTGAACCTCTACTAACATAATCCCTACTAGTTCAATCCCCTACTATTTTGAACCCCTACTAACTCAATTCCTACTAGTTCAACCCTACTATTTTGAACCCCTATTAGCTTAACCCCCACTATCCAATCCCTACTCGTTCAACCCCTATTATCGTAGACCCCTATTAGCTTAACTCCTAATACTCAATCCCTACTAGTTCAACCCCTACTATTTTGAACCCCTACTAACTTAATCCCTACTAGTTCAACTCCTACTATTTTGAACCCCTACTAGCTTACCCCTACTAACCCAATCCCTACTAATTCGACCCCTACTATTTTGAACCCCTACTAAACTAATCCCTACTAGTTTAACCCCTACTATTTTGAATCCCTACTAACTCAATCCCTACTAATTAAACCTCTACTATCGTGAACCCCTACTAGCTTAACCCCTACTAGTTCAACCCCTACTATTTTGAATCCCTACTGTTTCAACCCCTACTAACATAATCCCTACTAATTACCCTACTATTTTGAACCCCTACTAGCTCCCCTACTAACCCAATCCCCACTAGTTCAACCCTACTATTTTGAACCCCTACTAACTTCACTCCTACTAGTTCAACCCCTACTATCGTGAACCCCTACTAGCTTAACCCCTACTACCCAATCCCTACTTGTTCAATTCCTCCCTATTTTGAACCCCTACTAACCCAATCCCTACTAGTTCAACCCCTACTATTTTGAACTCCTACTAGCTTAACCCCTACTACCCAATCCCTACTAGTTCAACCCCAACTATTTTGAACCCCTACTAATCCAATCCCTACTAGTTCAACCCCTACTACTCAATCCCTACTAGTTCATCCCTACTACCCAATCGCTACTAGTTCAACCCCTACTATTTTGAATCCCTACTAGCCCAATCCGTACTAGTTCAACCCCTACTATTTGTGAACCCCTACTAGTTCAACCAATCCCTACTATCGTCAACCCGTACTATTTTGAACCCCTACTAGCTTAACCCCTACTAACCCAATTCCTACTAGTTCAACCCCTACTATTTTGAACTCCTACTAACTCAATCCCTACTAGTTCAACCCTACTATTTTGAACCCCTATTAGCTTAACCCCTACTACCCAATTCTTACTAGTTCAACCCCTACTATTTTGAACCCCTACTAACCCAATCCCTACTAGTTCAACCCCTATTATCGTGGACCCCTACTAGCTTAACCCATACTACTCAATCCATACTAGTTCAACCCCTACTATTTTGAACCCCTACTAACTAAATCCCTACTAGTTCAACCCCTACTATTTTGAACCCCTACTAGCTTACCCCTACTAACTCAATCCCTACTAATTCCACCGCTACTATTTTGAACCCCTACTAAAAGAACAATGATATATTTCACGTCCGGGCTTTAACCGGTCAAACCCGAACCCGGATCGAACCCGGGCTACCAAAAACCCGACTCGGATCGAATATAATGGGCTTTGTTCCGGTCCCTAATTTTCATAACCCGAGACATTCCGGGTAATTTCCGGGTTTAGCAAAAACC